GTGTGGATGCGCTTGTGCATGATGAGCTCGGAGTTGTGCCTGAATCCCTTCCCACAGACAAGGCAGCAGAAGGGCCTCTCCTCTCTGTGAACCAGATAGTGCCGGAGGAGACTGGAGCTGGTCTGAAACCTCTTCCCACACTCGGAACACTCGTAGGGCCTCTCCCCTGTATGAATCACCTGGTGACAGAAGAGGTGGGATCTACGCCTGAAGCTCTTCCCACACTCCCCACACTCGTAGGGGCTCTCCCCAGTGTGGATCCTCTGGTGCACCATCAGAACAGAGCTGCACCTGAAGCCCTTCCCACACTCTCCACACTCGTAGGGCCTCTCTCCAGTGTGGGTCCTCTGGTGCTTGGTCAGGCTCCAGCTCATGCTGAAGCTCTTCCCACACTCCCCACACTCGTAGGGCTTCTCTCCAGTGTGGGTCCTCTGGTGCTTGTTCAGGCTGCAGCTCAGGCTGAAGCTCTTCCCACACTCCCCACACTCGTAGGGCCTCTCCCCAGTGTGGATGCGCCGGTGGGTGATGAGGGTGGAGTTCTTCCTGAATCCCCTCCCACAGTCGGGGCAGCAGAAGGGCCTCTCCTCTGTGTGAACCGGATAGTGCTGGAAGAGATTGGCCCTGGTCTGAAACCTCTTCCCACACTGGGAACACTCGTAGGGTCTCTCCCCTGTGTGGCCCACCTGGTGCCTGATCAGGCTGGAGCTTCGGCTGAAGCTCTTCCCACACTCCCCACACTCGTAGGGCCTCTCCCCGGTGTGGATGGGCCGGTGGTTGATCAGGCTGCAGCTGCGTTTGAACCTCTTCCCACACTCCCCACATGCGTAGGGCCGTTCCTCACTGTGGGTGCTGTGGTGCTTGACGAGGTCTGAATTGTGCTTGAATCCCTTCCCACAGTCGGAGCAGCAGAAGGGCCTCTCCTCTGTGTGAACCGGATAGTGCCGGAGGAGATTGGATATGGTCTGAAACCTCTTCCCACACTCGGAACACTCGTAGGGCCTCTCCCCTGTGTGAATCACCTGGTGACAGAAGAGGTGGGATCTCTGCCTGAAGCTCTTCCCACACTCCCCACACTC